GGAACCTCCCCGAGCAGGACCCAAGAGGGACTCTCACCTGATTTCCTTCTTGGAGGCCTCCTGGCAGGGCAATAATTGGGACCATGCTGTGCTGGGGTTGCCTGGTACCACAAGACTTTATTGGGCAGGTTGGGCCAGAGGAGTCTCACTCTGAACACGTTCCCACTCCCCAACCACAAAGAGCTTTGCCCAGGGTGCTGGGAGCACCAGGGACAAGTGGATCCTCCTTCCCCTTGGACAGTCAGTGATGGGATGGAATTCAGCATCATTCCCACCGTCATTTTTTGGTCTTGAAGGTCCCCAGGATTTTGGGCATGAATTTTCCCATCTTCTTGTCTTTGGCATCTGTGTCATACTCCTCCTCGCTGGGACTGGTGTGCTCGTCCTTTTTGCAGAAGACCTCAAACCTGCTGTAGACCCTCTTCTCCTTCCTCATGTTCTCCATCTTCTTCAGGAGGGTGTCCCTGTCCTCCGACGGCTGCCGCTGCAGGTTCCGCTTCTGGCTGCCGAAGCTCTCTGACCTGTGGATGTTACAGCTCTTCTCCTTCTCCCCTTTTCTTTCCAAGCTGGTGGTTGACCTGGACAGGTCGGGGTTGCTGGTGGATGGCAGCTGCTTGGCCAGCTCAGCCCTGTTCTTCTGGCTGTTGGCAGAGATTTGCTCCAGGATCACCTTGGTGTCGTCCCGGAGGTTGCTGCTGTAGAGGATGTTGGCTGTGGAGGAGGGAAACCTCCCCTGGCTGGGCTGGCTGCTCTTGGGGGCCAGGGGGCTGGCGAACTTGGGGGATTTTTCCTCCTCCATTATCTCCTGACAGTCCCCAATGGAAGATCGTTTCAGAGCCACCGGCTGCTTGTCCGATTTGCCGCTCTCAGGAGCTGATTCCTCCTCCAGTTTCTTCTCGCCTTTGGGGTTCAGAAGCTGCTTCAGCCTTAGGGACCCTTTCCTGAGGAATTCCATGGCATTCTGGTCTTGTTTGGAACAGTCTTCCTCAGATTTACTGAGAGAGCTGTCGGATCCTGGGCTTCTGGACAGGCTTTCAAGGGCTGACGTGGTCCCTGCCCTCACCTGCGGCTTCTTCAGCTCCGCGCTGCCTAATTTTGGGGCGTCTTCTTTGAAGGACACCCTTTCCTTCTTCTCTGGAAGGGTCAGTTTCTGAGTGTCTCCGACGTAGATCAGACTCTCCTTCTCTGGAAGGGCAGGTTTGTTCTCTATGGGGTAAAACCGAGAGGATAATTTGTCCACCTTGGTGCCCAGATGTGCCAGGGGGTCCTTGCTGAAGGCGTCCCCCAGCTGGGGGGTGGAGGAGCCCACCCCAAAGGCTCTCTCGGCCTCTCCGTGCATCTTGTAAGTGCTGCAGGAGTCCTTGGACTCCAGCACCCTGCTCTCCAGGATCTTGTACTGCACGGACTTGGTGCACTTCTTCTCCGAGCCCTGGGACTCCTCCTGCAGGAAGCTGGACACGGCCTTGGCGTGCGTGACCGTCGCGCGCTCCGCGTCCCTGCCCACGGCCTTGTACTTCTCCAGCAGCTCGGCCACCTTGGAGGAGGCGGCCGCCTTCACCGTCTCGTTGTCCTTCGTCACCTCGCTGGACACCTGCTCCTTCTGGATCATCTGCACCTTCTCCAGCGTGGTGTTGGGCTGGTCCAACTTGGCAGCGCTGAAGATGAGCGAGGACCTGAGCCTGGAGCTCCTCTGGATCAGGGGGTTGATCCTGGACCTGAAGGCGTCTTGTTTGGTGATCGGGGCTTCCTCGCCGGCTCGGTCGGGCTCCGCAAACTCTTTGGCGCTTTCCATGCCCAGGGCTTTGCTGCTGAAGGGGAGAGGGGACTTGAAGGCCGGGAGGAGCTCGGGGGGGTGCTTGGGGAGGGGGTCTCCGAGGACGTCGTTGTAGGCCTCTGACTCCATGGGCATGGGGAGCCCTTCCTCGGGCTCGGACTGGTAGGCGCTGAGGTAGGAGGAGATCCTCCAGTTCCGTAAGCCCGTCCGGTTCTCCTGCGTGTTCTTGTCTTCCTCCTGCTCCTCCTCCTGCTCCTGCAGGAACAGGCGCTGCTCCAGGCTCTGCTTCTGGGTCGGGGAGGTCTGGCAGATGAACTTCTGCCCGATGTTCTGCCTCCTCAGCATCATCCCCACGGGGCCGTTGCCGGGCGCGTTCAGCTGGTCGGAGCCGTGTCGCACTTCCCGGGAGGAATTGGAAGGGACGTAATCCAGCCTCAAGGGGAAACCCTCCTGTGGGAAACTGGGCTCCAGCTCCGGGTACCTGGGTCCCTCTCCATAGTCCTCCAGCTCATTGAAGCCTGGCCTTCCACCTCGGATCCTCTCAAAGAGTCCCTGAGGCCTCCCGGGCAGGTGGGGATGTTCAAACTGGTACTGGTAGAACTGATCCTTCTGGAAGTGACTGGCCTGGATTTTGAACTCGTCCATATTGTTCATGAACATCTGCCTGGCAAACTGCTTGGAGGAGGCAAAGTTCTCGAACGTGCCTTCTGCAAAGCTGTGCCTCTTAAAAGCATCCAGCTCCAGCTGCTTGGAGCGGAGGAAACCTCTGACGGGATCCATCTGGGAATTCTCCATCTCCACCTTCTTGTACATCCTCATGGCCGAGCCCTCCACCGTGTGGCGCAGCGCGTCGTCCCGGCGGAAGCTGGACAGGAAGTACCTGTCGGGATCCACTCGGTCCAGGAAGGAGGGGAAAAGGGTGTCATCCCTCTGGAACATCAGGGGGCCTTTCTTGGGAAAGAAGGGCATGTTGTTGCCAAAGGGAGCCATGGCAAAGGGGTTGTCCACCTTGGCCAAGACGTTGGCTGGAGGAACCAGGGGCTCCGACTGGGCGAAGAGGATCCGGAATTCCTCGTCAAAGCTGGACACCAGCTCCCCCTGGAAGATGTGGGCAATGCTCCTGTGGATCTTCTCAAAAGACCACATGAAACTGCAAGGAGAAACAGGAATGGTTGGTGTGAGCATCAAACCACTCGGTTGTGCCACTGGGTACATTGAAGCACCTGCCTGCCTGGAGAGAAGTCATGGAATCGTGGAATGGTTTGGGTTGGAAGGGACCTTATAGATCATCTAGATCCAACCCCTGCACGGGCAGGGACACCTCCCAGCAGCCCAGGCTGCTCCAAGCCCCATCCAACCTGCCCTTCAACACCCCCAGGGATGGGGCAGCCACAGCTTCCCTGGGCAACCTGGGCCAGGGGCTCCCCACCCTCACAGCCCAGAATTTCTCCCTCCCATCTCAGCTCCAGCTCCCTCTGCCAGCTGGAAACCCTTCCCCCTGCTCCCATCCCTCCCTGCCCTTGTCCCAAGCCCCTCCCCAGCTTTCCTGGAGCCCCTTCAGGCCCTGGAAGCTGCTCTCAGGTCTCCCTGGAGCCTTCTTCTCTCCAGGCTGAACACCCCAACTCTCCCAGCCTGGCTCCAGAGCTGCTCCAGCCCTCCCAGCAGCTCCGGGGCCTCCTCTGGCCTCTCCAACAGCTCCGTGTCCCTCCAGTCTTGGGGAACACGTACCATGGTGGGGTTCTCACCTGTAGTTGCCACTCAGCACCACCATACAGTCCACCAAGAGGAATTTCTCCTTCACGTGGCCTCGGAAGGACATCCCTGTGCGGCAGTAGTAGGTGGGCCCAGAGACCGTCCTGACCCTGAGGAACTGCAAACCAGAGAAGGCAGCCACTCAGTTGGAAGCTCTTCCTTCCCCCCCCTCTCTCCCTCCTGCTCCCCTTGCTCTTCTAACTCCCAACCCAGCCACCCTTTTTATGGGTCGCTCTGGGGGTGGCCCCAGGGGTGGACGAGCCCCTTCGTTCCCGTGTCCTGCTGCCCCAGCTCTTCTCACGCTCCTCTTCCCCAGGTCCTCACACCCAGAGCAGCGGGTGGGACGTGGGGGCAGCTCCTGGCCTTGCTCACCTCCACATAGTTCAGGTTGACCCTGCATTTGGCTGCTGTGTCCAGGAAGAGCTGGGCGTCCATCTCGTCCAGCAGGATGTACACGGGCACGCGGCGCGCGGCCGCGTCCAGCACCTCCAGCAGCAGGTCCACGTCTGTGAAGGTGTCCATCACGATGGCCACCACCTGGGGAGGGAGCCAGAGGGAGGTGTTGGCCACCTGGGCCTCCTGGTGCCCTGGCTGACCCCATCCCCAGCACCTTGCAAGCCAAGGCTGCCCCATCTCCATCTGAACCTCCTGGAGAGAGGCCAGAGGAGGCCCCGGAGCTGCTGGGAGGGCTGGAGCAGCTCTGGAGCCAGGCTGGGAGAGTTGGGGTGTTGAGCCTGGAGAAGAGAAGGCTCCAGGGAGACCTGAGAGCAGCTTCCAGGGCCTGAAGGGGCTCCAGGAAAGCTGGGGAGGGGCTTGGGACAAGGGCAGGGAGGGATGGGAGCAGGGGGAAGGGTTTCCAGCTGGCAGAGGGAGCTGGAGCTGAGATGGGAGGGAGAAATTCTGGGCTGTGAGGGTGGGGAGCCCCTGGCCCAGGTTGCCCAGGGAAGCTGTGGCTGCCCCATCCCTGGGGGTGTTGAAGGGCAGGTTGGATGGGGCTTGGAGCAGCCTGGGCTGCTGGGAGGTGTCCCTGCCCATGCAGGGCTTGGATCTGGATGATCTATAAGGTCCCTTCCAACCCAAACCCTTCCATGATTCTATTATGACTCCTTTCTAAACAGGACTCTTCCCATTTCAAAGTTGCTTTAAACATTGTGGGCCCCCCCAGCTGGGAACAGAGTTGCTATTTAAGGTGCAAATTCTGAAGATGAGGGTGAGAAGTGAGGGAACTGGTCTCAGGTTGCACCAGGGGAGGTTTTGACAGGAGATTAGAAGAAACTTCTTCACTGGAAGGGTCATTAAGCCCTGGCCCAGACTGCCCAGGGAGGGGGTTGATTCCCCTCCTCTGGGGGTGTTTCAAAGTGTGGATGTGGTGCTGAGGGACATGGGTCAGTGGTGGCCTTGGGAGAGGTGGGTTAGGGTTGGTAGAGCTGGGTTAGGGTTGGTAGAGTTGGGTTAGAGTTGGACTTGATCATCTTCAAGGTCTTTTCCCACAGGAAGGGCTCCATGGTCCTGTGGAAATCCTGACCCCTCACTCCCTGACCCCAGGGCAGCAGGGAGGGTTTTGGCCACGTAACCCACACTGGGAGGTTTTATTGAGCTGCTCACCCTTGTGACACACCTGGCTGCTCTCAGGTAACCTCCTGGCCAAGGGTCACTCAGCCACCCCTGAGCTGCATCCAGGCTCCAACAGTGTGGGAAGCAGCTCCCAAGTCCAGGCTCCCTGTCTTTTCCCAGCTCCTGTTTTCCCAGTGAGTGTAAATACCTGATGGGAGGGTGGAAGGAGCCCAGCTCCTCTCTGTGGATCCCAGGGGACACAAATTGGAATGTAGGAAGCTCCAGTTAAGCAAAAGGAAAACCTCCTTTACTGCAAGGCTGATGGAACAGTGGGAAGGGTTGCCCAGAAAGGTTGTGGAGCCTCCATCCTTGGAGCTCCTCCAGGACATGTCCCAAGCAGCCCTCTCTGACCAACCCTGCTTTGAGCAGGGGGGCTGGACTAGACCCTCCACAGGTTCCTATCCAGCTCAGCTACTCCATGATTCTCTGAGCTTCTGGTACATTTTAGCAGGGCCTTGGACACTCCTCCCTGAGAGCAGAGTCCAGCTTTGATGCAGGAAGTGGTGGTTTCAGGATCATCCTTCCCTGCTGTCAGCTCCTGGGAGCAGAGTTAAGGGGCTCAGCAGAGGAGCTGCTGCCCCCCAGGCCCCCTCACACCCCCATCCCCTCCTCTCTGCTCCAGGGGGGCTCTTTGCTGTCTCACCTGCTGAGCTGCCCGGATCATCCTTCGTGCCTCCTCCTTGATGCTGGGGTTGTCTGGGGGGGGTGGCTGCACAAGGGTGGTCACCTCTGTTCCCCTGAACCCAAAGACCATTGGCCAGCCCAGGTCAAGCTCGGGAACAGCCAGGTCCGAGTTCATGGGCCAGTAGGTCCCAGAGGATCCATCCATGTCATTGTCCCCTGCGGTGTCCGTGCTGCCCTCCTGGTGGGCATACTGGGGCTTCTGGAGGTGCTGCAGGATGTGATCCACCTCGGAGCTGCACAGGAAATCAGGGGCTGCTTCCTCTGCCAGGAAACGTTGGTAACTTTCCTTCCCCTCCTCCGTCAGCACGTCCAGAGCCAGGCGATAATACTCCTTGTAGTGGGGGGGCAGGTAGTTGGGGTCCAGGGGGTTGTCCCCCTGGGAGGAGCTCTGGGATCGACGAGCCATGAGGGGAGGCAGAGCTGCAAGGGGAGGAAGAGCAGGAGTGAGGGCAGCTCCAGGGACACGTCCCTCCTGCCACAGGGGGGGACTGGGGGGTCCCCAGGGCAGAAGTCAAGAGGGATTCGGGGCACTCGGGGCTGGAGGGGATTCCTGCCAAAGGGATGGGGAACCCCCAGGAGGCAAAGGCTGCTCAGGTGTCACCTGAGCACAGGGTGGGTGTTCTGGGGGCAAAATAAGGAGCCAACCAGCCTGGGCAGGAGGGTTGGGGTGGTGCCTCCACCAGAACATCCAACCTTCTCTTCCAGGCGAAGCTTCAACTTGTCTCTTGCCCTCCAGCTCCTCCCCCAGCCCAGAGGACAAGGTCTGGCTTTGGTCTGGGCTCCATCCCAGCTCATCTCCAGGGGCTACAGAGGGGATGGGCTGTGGGGTCACCAGGCAGGAAACCCCTGGGCAGAGCTTGGGCAGGAAAATGCACCTCCTGGCTCTGCCTCCAGGGAGGGTCTCAGGCCCCTCAGCAGCTCCAGGAGCAGGATGGGGGTGCAGTGAGAGGACAAGGGGCAATGGTTGGAGCCTAAAGAGGGGAGATTCAGGTGGGACATTAGGAAAAAGTGTTTTCCTGTGAGGGTGGGGAGCCCCTGGCCCAGGGTGCCCAGGGAAGCTGTGGCTGCCCCATCCCTGGGGGTGTTGAAGGGCAGGTTGGATGGGGCTTGGAGCAGCCTGGGCTGCTGGGAGGTGTCCCTGCCCATGCAAGGGGTGGATCTGGATGGGCTTTAACATTCCTTCCAACACAAACATTCCCTGATGACAGAGTCTGAGGGGATTCCCTGATCTGGCCACCTGCAGAGCACAGAGCAGGGCTCTGTTCCTCCTGCTCCAAACCACAACTCCAAGTAGAGCTGCTTGATAAACCAGGAAACAACATGGACTTACTATAAAGATGTCAAATGAGCCCAACAGGTCCCTGCAGGAAAGATTCCAAGAGATAATCACCTTTGTAGTCAACCCATGGAGCCATCACTCCAGCCTGAAGTGTCTAGATTTACCTTCCCACTCTCATGTCACCTTGTTTTCTCTTCAGGTAAAAAGCAGCCCAGTGCACTCCCCCTTTGGTGTGCTCAGCACCCATGGACCTGCTCCTAACTATTCCAGTGGTGTCCTCAGCCTTTCACTTCCAGGAA